CTTGGCATCAGTTTACGATGCCTGCTGAGAATTTTTTTCTTGAGCAAAGCTCGTCATGCGGTTTGTTAATAAACCACACAGGCTATTTTCAGCTTAAAACAGGCCTCTAATATCATAAAGGAAGTTCCGTCTAAAATCGTGATAATATGACTGAGTGACGTTATAAATAATAGTTGGCGCATGATACGTGAAATGTTTCGATTTATAGATTCGTACAGTCGCTCAAGGTTTTGTGGAGTCAATGACAACAGTTGGCATTAGCAAACTTAGGGCCTAAAAAAGTTTCTTTGAAGTTGTTTCCCTTCAAGTTTTAGAATTAACGTTGAAGATGAAACGACAATCAATCTAAGAAGGAAGTTGAATAGGGATGTTGACGAAAATGTGGTAATACACATAATTGCACAATGGATATCATGTCAAATATCCCTTGAGGGAAGGTTCGAATTCGTGAGTGGAATGCATCAAGTTCCTAATGATTTGTCTTGTTGAAGTGTGAAATTAAACCAATGACCGATCAAGAATTGTCCCGTTGGTCGACTTAAGACTACAAAAAAACTGTGTCAAGAGTTGAAGACAAAGAGTTGTATCACTAATGTTTTAATTTTTGTTTAGTAGATTCAAGCTTTTTTCATCACTATAAAATTAATTTCGTTCCTCATGATATCTGCTGAGCGAATTCAGTTACATCAATATTTCACTTTCACTTCAACTGCCCATTTTATTCAAACCGTCGGTTGTATATAATATTTTTCCACGGTCTCATACATCGGCTGATACTTAATCATTTTTTAATTTTGTTATCACCGAACCGAAAAACGAATCAAGTACTGTAATCAGAAAAGAAACTTCCTTTGCTAAAATGGTGCCACTGCGAAGTAGCGCGAAAACCGAACCAATATCACTTGGACAACTGGAAAAAAAAAAAACTTAACCTTTACTCTCTTATCTCGCCTATGGTTGATGATTTCTGACCGGATGGAGAGAGGTTACAGGGTAAAACCGAGCGTTACCAATCCCTTACCGATTGAGACATTTCAGTAAAACTCAGCCCAAGTGTTCAATGAATAAGTTCCGCTTGCCAAGTACAACTTCCTTCCTTCCGATATTTAGGAAATTATAGACGTGCGTAATTAAATGAATGAAAGCTGTAGGCGTATGAAAATGCTACAAAAAAATATAGAGAATATTAGGAAAAGGCGAAATGCTACAAGGCGCTTAGAGTTATAATATACGTATATCTTTTACCTCTAATTGCCCCCATCTGAGTTCATATGGAAGTTATCAAAAAGTGCTAAGCCTTTATTCAACAAAAATGAATATACAGATAAAAATAAATAGCTAAATAAATAAATAAATAAATAAAATCCACGACAGATTCAAGACATGACTTAATTCCTAAAACAAATTTAACAAATTACTATCCAAAAACTAATCAATTATATACTGAGGATATGAGTTACGCTAACAGCTGCAGAAGTGCCTCTTTCGAGAGACGGAGATAGGAAGAAGTTCATTTGAAACGGCTTGCGTGCGGAGAGTATTGCGCCTGCAAGCACCTTGTATTGCCTCTGCACCTTTTTGTTCGTTTACGATAAGATCTTAAGAACCATACAATACAACTTTGGAGTGCATATTCATGTCTAAAAATTGCAAGTTCCTGGTTCTTGGTATAAAATCACTAGCTTAACCGAGTTGTTCATTCGAATAAAAGAGAAGAAGAGTTACCCATTTAATCTGCTCACCCAAGGTAAGAATGAGTTGACTATGTTAGTTGATGCGGACTTAAGCGCGTACATCTGCGCTTTGAGCCATTTATTTTTCCTCAAACTGTAATTGTTTCAAATGCACATTTTGATGACTGCATTCGTCATCTTCATTAAGAGTTTTTTAAAAAAATATCCACAGTGTTCCTGCAATAAACCTGGAAGTTTCTAGGCGTTTCTAAGCGTGTTGAAATCTGATTTGGGCCGATTTCTTTCTTAATTTTTCTCTTGAAAATTAGGCAACTGTAAATCGTTCAGCAAGCTTATGCATCTTAAGGAGAAGTTTTCTTGGAGAATTTTTTATGGCAGAGATTCTGCGGGCAAATCACTCGTTAGAGTCATTCAATATGAAACTCGGAGCACGTTAGGCAAAGAATTTGAACAGGTTTTGGAAAGTTTTGTTGCAGATAAGATTTCGAACTTGCGCTTCTCTCAACTGAGTGTCCAATATTTCTTTTTAAGACTTTTTCATCGTATTTCGGCTTTTGGGTATAGATCGAACATAGTTCTTTTCTCAAATTTTACTAGAGCTGATCAACAATTTGACCAGAATAATCTTTCGCTTTGATAACGAAACACGAAGAGCCGTGGTAAACGAAATGAGACATTTACACATGACTGGTTTTGAACTAAAGGAACTGATCACAGAAAAAGAAAATCTTTTTCAACTTAAGTCTACAATGAGGAAAGCGATTTTTATTTCCTGTGCGAGAAATAATTTTTGTAAATCTAGGTGTAAGCTACCGAATGGTCCGAATTTCCTACGCTAGTTTTCCCTATTTCTTGTTATCATCAGCTCATTATTTTAATTAATCATTTTCATACCCCAACAAATATTAACAGCAGACAAAAGAATACACAACTTATACATGCCCTGTGCCGGAAAACTCGTTCAGGAAGGACACTTGCATTTTTGCTCAAACAAACAATATTACTGTACCGCAGTGACGCAAATCCTTTCGGGGTCTCTTAAAGAACCCGAGCGCTTATTAAGTATCTTGGACTGTTCGCTTATGCAGTACGTTTACAGCATGATGGTGGGAGTTATTCCAGGGTGAAAATCGTGTGTGCCATTCTACAGTCCATTCATGTTAATCGCCTAACCTTTAGCACTAGAAAAGGTGATATTCAATATTAAGAACGCCAGATAACTTTCTTCTCTTACTTATACTGCCATTCTATTCAGATTCCCCCTATTCTCAGGGAACTATTGGCTTTAAGTTATCGACTTGAAGAGACTCTGCTACTGAACATCGCAAAAACATAGTGCTTTTTTCCGAAGTGCAGTTAGTTATAACCAATGAAACTATCAAAAACTGACCTGAATGTACTGTACATTGTACTCGCAAATTGTGTTGCATATGTCTCACAGGTAGTATTGCTTTTCGTCCTTGACATTTTCTTTTAGGAAGCATACAATCCTTGAAAAATAATAACATTATTTTGATTAATAAGCATCATTTAAAACCGTGTATTTCCACGTTCATGATCAACAAACAATTTCTAAGAAACATTTTGTCCCTTCTTGAACTCCTTAGCAAACATGACCGTTTTTATCCTTAATGGTTTGGTTCTTATCTTGATCGTGAGTCTGACGTCGTCTTACGTCATCAATGATCTATACCCGGACGAAAGTGAAACTATAGAAGACGTGAACAGCGAACTTCTAGAGTTAAATGAAATGAACTACATGGATCCCAACATGAACATGGACAACAATCTGGGCATGAGACAAGTTGAGGACATTGTTGTCCAAAATGGTGGACCTAAGATCAGAGCTACATTCGAAGCTCAGAACAACTCATGCTGGATCGAAGCCCTAAGAAAGGTACCTCATAGACTACTGTTGGAGAAAAAGAAGAATCAGGAACGCGCTCTACGAAAATTCTACCAGGCATTGCAACATGGAAAAAAATCAACGGTAGACGCTGTAACGTGGTTGAAGGCAAAACAAAGCGAAGCTTGTAGCGCTTGCGTGTTGGAGAAACTCTGCGAGGATCCGGTGATTTGGAATCGTTTGGCCTTACCTTCGACTTTGACAAGGTAAGCGTTAAGACAGTCTATTCGGCTAAATTGTATCAACGGTAGCGTTAAGAAACAAGGTTCTTATATTCATAACATACCCGGCCGAGCGTAGCACATATTCCAGGCCTGTAAAGCTTACTTTCTAATTTAGTTTTGAATTAATCCTACAAATATGATGAGACCAAGCAATAAGAAAATGCTTTCCTGCCATTTTCAGCTGAGGGTAAAAAGAAAATATGTGTTGTAGAGTATTTTTAAGGATTACCTTTTGTTTTGTTAAGTCTCGCCTTTTTGCGTCTACGTGTTATTTTGGTAGATCTATAGTTTTGATCTTTACTTTTAATGTGCGCTTGAACTTGGCTAAATCCGTGGATTTCCTTCTTACCGTGTTAGACATTTTAATCGCTTGTTGTGGTTGGGAACAATTAGTTTCTTAGGTGGTCATGTTTGGGTTGGTAAAACTGACCTTGAGCTTTACCCACACTGAAGATCCTGTTTGTGCGCGTGATTCTCTCGCGCAGCTCCGTCATTGGCGTTTAATTGGTTCCTTGGTGCTCGCCAAGTGCTTCGGAGCGAGCCACCCAATTTCACCCTTTGCTAAACAACGAATGCACTATGGAAACTCCCACAGTCAGCTAACCCAAACATGTGTGTGATTTTTGCATTTAATGCGTGGGCACTCCTTGCTAAAAGTTGAAGAAAAATAGCAGCAGTAGCAGCAGCAGTAAGAGAAGAAGAGATCTGAAACGTTGTAGTTGGGAAGAATAAAAAGAGAGAAGAGTCCAGAGTCTCAGTACTTCTCGTTAAAAGCCAAGCGAGTGGTAAACACCCCCCCACACATGTAATGGGTAAAAGACCCTTGATACACAGGGGTGAAGATTTAAGATCATTCTTGCTAAAGGGTAGCGCTTAATTTTTATTTTTTCGCTCATAGCAAGAAGAAAGTCAAGCAATGCAAACTAAAGGTACTGACCTTGGCGCGCAAGTTCAACTACACAGAGGAAGAGAGAATAAGGTGCGACAAGAATTCCCGGTTCAGGACAATAGATGGAACCTGCAATAATCTGGATAATCCCCGTTTTGGAACAGTCCTTACTCCATTCAGACGTCTGGAGCCACCTGCATATGCAGAAGGAATCTCTACACTTCGAAGGGCTCTCAGTGGAGACGAATTACCAAACGCAAGGAACGTAAGTCGTTTTGTTCACGGCAGTAATGGAGCACGCACAAATCCTGATTCCCCTAGACTAACTCACTTGACTATGAGCTGGGGGCAATTTATGGATCATGATTTTACGCTAGCACAGACACAAGGCATTAACTGTGAGTCGAGCAACTCTAACGCAGAATGCATCAACATTGAAGTTCCATCTGATGATTCTATCTTTCGAGACAGAGGAGTTAGCTTCTTTCAGCTGGAAAGGGATGCACCTCATAAGCCAAACACCATGTGCAAATTGACTCCGCGAGAGCACAGTAACACGTTAACAGCCTACATCGATGCCTCCAACGTGTACGGTTCGACTGAGGAGGAGGAAAAGAACCTTCGAGCCTCGAATGGCTTACTGAGAATTCAGGAACTCCGTCACGGTTGCCCGATGAAGAGTTTGTTGCCTGCACAGCTGCCTGATCAGTTTTGTGTATCGAAAGATCCAAATAGACCTTGCTTTACAGCGGGAGACGAGCGTGTGAACGAGAACCCGGGTAAGAATACCAGTCTATGAAAGTTATCATACGAGACTCACTTCATAGAATAAGCCCACCCAATTAATATGTTATTATCTGTCATGTAAGTATTCTTTCTGTGATCATAATTGAATTTTCTTTTCGTGCATGGGATAAAGATGAATGTGATACGCCCATGCTAAGCTATAAAAGGAGTCACCGATATTTTGTTTGGTGCATTCGAGCATCTTCTTTTCTTCTTTCTGCAGCTCTCATATCTGTTCATACCATTATTGCCCGGGAGCACAACCGAATCGCGACATATTTTGGTGAGATGACATCATGGGATGGCGAGCAAATTTACCAAGAAACAAGGAAAATAATCGGAGCAGTGCTACAAGTCATAACATACAACGAGTTCCTGCCACTGATTCTGAGCCCTAAAACGGTAAGAAAATTTTCTCATTACGAAGTTTCCTTTCGTACTTTTGGTTGAAAATCAGGTAGGATCTTGTTTATGGTAAATGCTTCTGAGGAACAGAAAGTTAGAGACGTTGTTGAGTGGCGAAACCCGCCATGAGTTTCTGCGAATGGCAAACTCCTCTTCAGTGACCATTGCATCATTTATTTTAACTACCTCACATATCGAGTGAATGAGTGCCCCGCCTCGTAAAATGGTCTGATACATGTTGCTCTGAGGCTGGCACGTTCTTTGTACTCAAAGAGAGGTCATTTCTTTTCTTCATACTCACCTTTTCTTGAAACTGACGTAGATAACTGTACTGTGAGACGAAGAATTCCTATTGTTTCTTATAAAATTCTGTTCAGATCAGAAGAAATAACCTCAAGTTGTTGAAAGGAACCCAGTTCTTCAACGGCTACGACCCACGTATCAATGCTCAAATGTCTGCATCATTCTCTGTGGCTGCATTCCGGTTTGGTCACAGCTTGGTTCAAGAAGAGTTCATGCGTTTCACCCAGGATGGCTTTCAACACCACTGTAACAAAGCAGAGTTCATGCCAATCCCAGTACTGGATTTCGGCAACCCAACATACGTATATGATAAGTGTAATGGAGGCGTTGATTCCATCTTTAGAGGCTTACTTAAAAGTCCCGCTGCAAAAATGGATGGGCAAGTGAAAACATAATTGTTGAGTCACAGTGATAAGAGTTGTATATGGTTTATGAAGAAGAAATCCTACTTAAGTGCGTCTAAGTAATCATGGTGTTTGCTGTAATCGTATTCTTACAGGCGATTTTCAAGTTCCGTGCAAGAAAATCTGTTTCGAGGTGAGGGTGATTTGTCTGATCTCATAGCCATAAACATCCAAAGAGGACGTAGTCGTGGCGTTGCTTCATACACAACATATCGCAACCGCCCAGAGTGCCTTATAAGGACAAAGGTGAGAACATTTGACGATCTGAGAAGAGCTGGTTTTGACCCAGATGACATAAGCAAGCTGAGATCCCAGTACCAATCGGTCCACGATATCGATCTTTTCACTGGAGGTATGTAACTGGGTTGAAGATCATTTAACATGAAGTATCCAAATATTGGAAATCTTTAAGACGACTGATTTCGATCAGCTCGTTCTGGCTATAGATTACTTTTGGGTGTGCGTGAGATTCTTTGAAACGAAAGTACTCTTATAAATGATGCAATATGTAAGAACGTATTATTTAGCATTAAGTGTTAGGGTCGAAGGCTGTCATATTAAGTCTCTTGACGCTCCCAATCGACCATGCAAGGGACCAAGTTAAAGGTAGTCTGATGCTTTCGTTGTCTCCAATTGCCTTGACTCTAGTCTCGAGTCGTTTCAACCAGATTCAATGAATTTAAAACAGGAATTTATACCAAATCTATCCTATCCCTCGGCAGTGAATCCTTCTACAAATGCTACAGTTTATTAGGTAGTAACGAAATGGATAGATTTGTCCCAAATCCTCACTTCCGGTGAATCTTGGCGGTAGGTTTGACTAGCCCCCATAAACCTCTAACAAATCTCACAAATATGCGAGGTGTCACTCACTGAGGGCGAAAATGAAGCTTTTAACTTCTGCATTTTTACTTTCAAAGGAGTGCTCGAACCTGTGGATTCAGACGGAGGGGTTCTTGGGCCGACCTTTCAATGTATAATAGCCGAACAATTTAACCGCCTCCGGGTAGGTGATCGTTTCTGGCATGAAAACGCTCCAAACTCTGCCTTGCACACCGACAAAACAGCGTTCACGTCTTGTCAACTTCAGGAGATAAGGAAAGTTAAACTTGCAAAGATAATCTGTAACAATGCAGAAGACATCCCCGCTGTTACAAGGAAGGCTCTGGAACAATCCAAGATATTCGTCAGTTGTGATAAGCTACCTGACATGAACCTCAATGTGTTTAGACCAGGCTTCAAATGTCCGAATCAACGGTAAGAGAAGCTTTGACACATTTGTTACTCGCACTCAGTCACTCTAGAGCAAGGTTTGAAAAACAAAAGCATTCACTCTCGCACACTGAGTCGGTTGAACTGATAAAGGTTGGCATTAACTTCCTTTAGTCAACCTGTTGGGTGGGTAGTCGTCGAAAAAGTAACCATGGAAATAGTGTTTACACAAGTACCAAAATTTCTTCATTTCCCTGTGATTGACCTCAGGGATATTCAGGCGGCAATTTTGTTTCATCCTCCTGAGTAACTTCATATTTATTAATTGCGAGAGAGGAATGAGTTTATCTTCTGCTTATTACTGATAACCAAACTATATTCAAACGAATGATGGCCATGATGAATGGAAAAACATTATAGAAGTTACATCATTAATTACCAGCGTTACTCAAAATTTTTAGTATATAATTTTCATTTTATTTTAACAGCTTATTGTCTGATTTTCTTCCCTTCCTCTCAACAGTGTAATGGCCGACTCCCCTGCGAGAGACGCCGACTGGTACGGTATTCCATCCACAGGGACATCTGACGAAACTTTTTGACCCACTTTCTCGTCTCATTTTGGGTCAATTTCTTTCTTTCTTTA